GATCCAAATCAGATGCAGAAAAATCAACATCTGTAAATCTTTTTCAGTCAATAAATATCTCTTAAAAAAAACAAAATAAAAAAACACCAACATTGTACAATTTTCAATTGGTTTTTCCAATAGAATTATAACAGAAATTCAATAGAATTTCTTAGAGAAATCGCTAGGTTATTCCCGAAAATTTTTTATACGAGGAAAAGGTGAAACAGTCTCAGTTGATAAAAATTACCTCTAAATTTTATTCTGTAATTTCCATCATAATTCTAGTAAAAATGTAATACTTCCAGGAAGAATTCCGCAAAAATATGGCAATTTCAATTCAACTATTTTAACTCTCACTCGACTCATTGTATTTTCCACTAGGATTTCACTTCAAAAATTCAAGAAAAAAAAATTAAAAAATTTTCTCTTCATGTCGTTTAAAACCCCAACCATCAGAAAATCTTCAACTCAGATAATTTCACCCCATCGCTCCTGAACCCATCAAAAAAATAGAACAAGTTACTCTGCTAAAATCCTTCCTGTCATGAAACCTCCAAGTGTATTCATTAAAAAAATAACCTGATTCTCTCATAATACAATGACCGACCTCCGAAATCGCTAAAGAATTGATCAACGAAATTACCTCCATCAACTTATAATTTCGCTGCATTGTCATTCGAATCTGCACAGCAGATAGTCTCTCAACATTCGATTAATCCCATGAGCATTACCCCGGAAATATCAATTTTCAAAAATAAATCGAAAAGATACACGGAGAAAAAAGTTGGAGAAAAATTACCGAACAATTCGTGTAATCGTGGAGCGAAATCCATTTCTATTTTTTTTTTACCCTACAACAGTTTTTAACAGTGTAGAAATCACTAGACTAGTACTCGAAAATTGAGGATCATCTATATAGACGAAAATTGGCAGTCAAAATTTATTCAGTCATTTCATGTTTGCACAGAGAATAAATTTTTTTAAAAAGATTAAATCGATTTTTGCAGTAAAAATTTTCAATCTCAGCGCACGCTTCGCATGTTTGGCCTAGAAAATCCTCTTTTTATCATATTTGACAAACGATTTTTTTGGCACTAGTAAGACTTGCTTGAGAACTCTCTCAGTGCACGCGAGTAAAAATCCTCACGGCACTCTCGCCCTGATGGCACTATTGTTACCGAACACGATACGCTAAAATTTCACTTTGGTCCGTTCCCAAGTCCTGCGAAGCCAGAAAAAAAATACCCGGCCGTTTGGGAAATATTACTGCCCAGGGAACCCTAATTTTTGCATATCCTAGATGTGTTTTTTTAATTGAACTACAATTTCACTCCACGATTGCCTTTCGGCCAGTAAAATTAGCCACGATTTTCAAGTACTTTCTAACTCTTCGTTACTCGCGTTAAACTGCCCGACATGTTTATCCGCATCGCGGCGCCGCGCCGCAATGTAAGTCTGAGCGCGCCGTTGCCGCAATTCATTCGGAGAGTGGACACGCCAATCTCCCGGCAGCGCCGGCAGCCAAAAGTGTGGCAACGCCGTGTGAAATATTTCCGCGACACGACCAGTCGCATCGCGGCACGGCGCCGTATTTTTTATTTCCAATTAGCACAGGAGTAAATTTTCCCTAATCAGGGGTTTTCGCTGTGTTTAAGAATGGCAGAATATGCTTTCAAATAAAATGAGTGAGCCGTACCAATTTTTTCATACTTTTTAATGAGTTTTTTCGGAAGTTGTATTGAAAAATAGAATTTAACTGGCGCGGTGCCGTGGACGCGAGTAACGAAGGATCAATCAACCTTCCTCTCCGTGCATATGAATCATCATCTTAATAATTTCCATCTTGTGGGTATTAGTTTAAATAATTAACAGTACGGCATTGGGGCAGGTTGGTGCTACGGAGGTGGAATATGAGGAATATCCCGGAGTTCATGGAATTCCGCGAAACATGGCCATCGACAAAGACAGGCATTGCAGGCCCAACATTTGAAGCGTGTCTGCCTAAGTTTTCCACGTGACGTAAATACTCCTCGTCGTTTGCAGTGTACACAGACTTTTCCATGGCCATTTGCTTTGCTGAGGCTATGAGGTTGACCGGATACATACGTTATTCCTCCTGGAGAAAATTGGGCCAAATATGTTCTTCTGTTAGTGATAACTGACAACTTAGAGTATTTTTGGTTTTTGTTTTTGTTGATTTTTTTTTTTAATTTGTGAAAAGTCATGCAGGAAACCATTAGTTAATTCGTGTTTCTCATTCGTTTTTTTTGCTCATTTTACTCTGATTGAAATAGTTTGTTCACTCCTGTTGTGTAATGACCAGATCCCAGCACCAACCCGTAGCCGTAAGCCAGCATAAATCTCTGCGACCAATACCCACAACTTAAGCATTGCCAGGTGCTTGTTCAATGTGCTCGCCTCGTTTTATTTATCGGTTTACCATTAGTATTATTACTGCTGTCACTTCTCGCTTTGGCATTTTATAGATTTATGTTGATTTTTTTTTTGTAATAAAGTACAGGGCTGGGTTTTCATGGAAATCAAGGAGGAATAGTATTCTGAATGGTTCTTCGTGATGGAATGCTATTTGAAGTTGTCATTACGGATTTCGTTTCATTCGTTAATTTAACCCGTTGTAACTATTCGTTGATTGGCGGATAGTTGAGAATAGACGAAATACTATTGGAAATTTTACTTTCAATTTCATGATTTTGGGCGATTGCAGTCTATTCTTGAATTAATTTGCTTCTGCTTCGCAAACAGGAATAAACATGATGATTTTGTCCCGAAGATGTCGAAATGGGAAAACATATTCTAAATAAGGAAATGACAATATTTTTAATCGCTTTCATCAACTATTCATTCCAAATAGTATTTTATCTGCATAAACTATTCAGATACTATTTTCCTTGTCACGTTTGATGACTTCGAAATGAAAAATTGTTAAGAATATTCACGATGCAATATTTTTTTTAATAGTTATCCCAAGTCAATTATTTTTATGAATTGAAAACTATTCACCAATTTTGTCTTATCAAGTTGGAATTTAATAGTCAATAGTTATTCCAGTTGAAATGGGAAAAAACTATTTCAAACAATGAAATGAAAATATTTCAAGTCGTTTTCATCAACTATTTATTCCACATAATATTTTTCGACTTCGAAATAACCAATAATAAAAAAATTGGTATTCATGATGTAATACCATTTGAAATAGTAATTCCAACTCAATTATTTTCATCAACTCAAAACTATTAATTCGTCCACGCACATCAAACTGAAATTCAATAACCACTAGTGGTTATTTTATTTCAGAGTTCGAAACGAGAAAAAAACTATGAAACTATCAAACAATGAAATAAAAATTTCCATCAACTATCCTTTCAAATAATATTTTATCTGAGTAAACTATTCAGATACTATTTCATTTGTCACGTCTGACGATTCCCAACCAACAAATAGTCAAGTCTGTACCCAGCTCCGTCTACGTACGATAATTTTGACAAAAACATACATATTCATGAACTCTCATTCAGTTAGTTTCCTACTAATAAAAATGAATTTGATATACATCCATACAGATAATTTCTTCAACCAACTAGACATGGATTTTGATTTAATACTCAATCTAACGTTTTGAAATTTCAATTCATCTGTTATCCAAATATGATCGCTACGTGAACAATAGTTCGTTGCCTCTTTATACTGAATGGTTATCACTTTGTTTCCTTACTTACCTCTCAACAGCTTGTGTTAACTAATCGATTGAAACAATACCATGGCAGAGAGAAAATTCAATCTTCCTCGGTGATAATAAATTTGCTCTTTAATTCATGCCAAATGTTCGGTTAAAACCACCACCGCCTTCACCAAACCAGTGCCGCACTTATTTTCAATAATAAATATTCCGCATGTTTGAGGTAATAAATTACTCAAAGAACTAAATAATAATATTTCTCAGCAGAAAATAAAATATCATCCGTTGAAAATCAAACAATTTTCACGGATTATTTTGTTAGAATCAGAAGAGAAAAGAATAGGGAAAATAGTCACTGAAAAATCGTAGATAAAGGAAGATCGATGATTGTCGGCCACACATACAGCACTTGGCAATGCTCACTAGCATCTACAACATCCAAAAACCTACACCTGAAAGTGCCTTTTTAACCCGTAGATTTTTTTAATCAAGAATATTCTATTCAGAGAAATTATAATGGCTCAGAGAAAGTAAATCATGCACTCTGTCCATAAAAAAAAAAAATACAGTTGTCAAATGATGAGTGGAGAGGGGAGATGTTTTCAATAAGTCTTCATGTCGGATTAATCAGAAAGAATCACCTTGATGTATCCAGCACATTCTCACATTCATGACTATACGATCATTGTTTTCCAAGATTGATGAGTCTCTCTCCCATTCGCAATGAAGAATGGACACTTTTTTGTTGATATCTTGGAAAACATTGACGTTACAGATGATTTTCTACATTTTTTCGCATATCAAGAGAGATAATAGGGGTTGGATTCTTGAGGAAATGAAGTGTGAGATCAATTGCTTAAGTTGTCACCCGAAAATATGTTGTGTTTGTATTATGCAAAGCTACGCAGGCTACTTTACCATTTGAAATAAATTCTGTTTGTGATAGAGACAGTAGGGCCCGTGTTAATGAAGTGAACCCAGTGTACTAATTAATTTCATCGTCTCAGAATACTCGGGGGATTCAGAAGGTTTTGGATACTTGGGAATCAATCTGCCCCCTGCAATGCCTTTTACATCTGATGATTCGAAAATGAAATGGGGATTTTGCTTTGAATAATTTTTTTCGTTCGATTGGCAAATTGTTGTGAGTTTTAATTCAGGGGTTATTAACCCGTGAAGGGGCTTGTTCGAGCAATGGGTCCGATTGTAATAATTTTTTTTTAGTTGGAGGGGTGAATTTAGGGGGGCAGCAGCATGAGGCATGATACGAAGTACGAGAGGGAGGAATGAATGAGAGTTATGGATTTTTATGGTTACTCACCCTGCGCTGGATCCTGGGCTAATCTCTCGCCGGATGTACTTGGCTTCGAGAGTAAGTGACCTTTAATGAAGCAGAGAAAATTGGTGTAATTATATTAATTGCTATAATTGTGTGTGTGGAGAAATGGAGAATAGAAAGATGGAAATTAAAAGTGTGTAAAGTGTTTGGAGAAATGGATTTAGAAAATTATGTTAATAACAATTATATTAATGTCAATTTATAACATCTCAATGAATATTAAATTCAACATTATCCATTACTTTTAGGAATTAATGATATTCATAAGATCATTTTTCAATAGTTTAGTAATCAGTAATATTTTTCAGAATAATTTTCAATTTCATTTTCATGTTGTACGATTTTATGTTAATTTTTGACCAACATTATTAAAATAATATTTACTACTGGCTTCGAGAGTAAGTGATCTTTAATGAATTATAAAGAATTGTAATTATATTTGTAGAGAAATGGAGAATAAAACGATTGAAATGAAAACTTTGTGAAAGAATTTTTTTTAGAAAAATGTTTTTAGGACATATTTTAACACCGACACAGCATTTTCTTCACACAAATGATGTTTTGCATAAACATTTTGTTTAAAGAGATTTTAAACCTCATATTTTAATTACAAGTTGATTATACGTATTGAGTAATTCTTCTGGTTCAATTGAAGCGATTTCGTCAATTATATTAATGCAAATATATAACATCTCTACTTTAGTGATGAATAATATTCTTATCGTTTTCCAATACTTTAGCAATCAGTAACAGTTTTCAGAATAATTTTCATTGTTATAGGATTTTCTACGAATTGTGCCCAACATATATCGTGTGATTAAAATGTGAGAATGACAATTTCTGCTGACACGATTCTATTGTGCATAATAGGACACTCAGACGAGTAAATGCTGCGTCGGGATAAATTATGCTTGCAATATCAGTGAAACTAGTGGCCCTAATGAAAAATGTGCAAATTCATAACATTTTCATAACTCATAAATTAATTCCTCGAATTTAATTCAATCTTTCTTGTTTTTTCATTCGTGTCAAACAACTACTTTTTTAAACATAAACAAATGTTTACTCGATTCAAATGTCTTCATGAGTTAAAAAATGCAATCGTCAACAGTTTACCTCAACCAATTAGACCATTTTCAGTGAAATCAATATAAAAGTTAATTAATTTCCAACAAAAATATTGCTGAATTGAAAAAATTCAAAATTTTTCGACTGATCCACTAGTTTTAAGGATACTTTTCACTTAAAAAATAAAAAAAACGTTTGTATACACATAATAACTCAGGGATAAAAAATGATGGCAAACTCAATTCATAGTCAGGAGTGATATTGAGATAATTACCCAAATCAGTCGATGACTTCTGATCTGGTGCATCAGACCCTGATTGATTAGTGTAAAACGTCTGGCTAATATCAGGCTTACGATCATCATCAGCGTTCGAGAGGGTGTCCTCTAATTTATTCGATCCATCCCCTGTACTCTGCTCCTCGTAACTGCAACTGCTTCCATCTTGCTCCAAATACTCGGGCATTTCCAATTTCAAATTTGGCATTAGGGGAATTATCTCGATGGGATCGGCTCCTGCGGTGGCTGCATGGTCTGTCGTTTTGTCGTCATTGTCTTTAGTGGCACTTGAACTGCTTGCTGATAATTTTTCAGCGTTTGACGTTGTGTCACGAAATTTTCGCCGTTTTGTGGGAGGCGTTTCGGGGCTTACGTCTACTGCGTGGTAGGGGAGGGGGGAGGAGGGCGATTTGTTGCCTTTGTTGTTGACCATGGGCTTTCCAGATGCATTTTGAAGTTGAACCTCTGGCTCGTTGGGGATTTCAACGTCCTCCTGGGAACATGAGACAGTCATTGGGTATAATTACTTTTTTTGAGGGAAAATCAGATTGAAATTTCAAAATCAATGATACCATCTATCGTGCTGATGAGTTTACTACATTTTAATGTAAAAAATTTTAAAAAATGAGATTTTGATTTCTTTAAACAATTGCATTTGTCAATTTTTAATTTTTTTAAAAAATTATTAGTGTTCAATTTACATCATAAATCGTTGAAGTATTTTTTTCAGATATTCGAATCATTTATAGAGATATAATGAAAAAAAATATTTTCATTTATTCAGAATATAATGAAAAAATCTCGTGAACTAAGAAAATAGAATGAATATTCAAGCAATTCATAATAGCCTTCAGCCAAAAAAACAATGCTGAATAAACCATGAATTATTATTTTTTCAAATAAAATAATTTTCTTAAAACAACAAAGAAAGTCTGGGCTGAAAAATAAATAGTGAAAACGAAAGGTTTCCACTCGATATTTCCGAGGAACTGAGCAATAAATTCATTTTTTAAAAATATCAAAATGATAATTACCTCAGCAATACTTTCTGAATCCTTTCCAGTCCCATCAGTCAAGCCCTGAACAGCCAACAACTCTGCAGTCGTCAAAAAACTGGCCAGCTGTTCTTGCACTACATTGACTTCGCCCTGGTACATAAAGTCTACTAAAGCAGCCAAGTCATCAAACTTGACATTTCTAAAAATTATCACTGGGTGCTGACATGGGTTCTCCTGAAAAATAATCATTACAATGGTTTAACTCATATTTTTGCGAAAACCACCTCAATAGAACAATAAGGGACGCTTCAAACTTTTTTTCAATATTTCTAACTCATAAATTAATTCGTGGAATTTAACTCGAAGCTGTTTTCTTTATTTGAACTTTCATTCACGTAAAATAATCGGTATTTAACCAAGAGAACGAATTAATTAAAATGTGATAATTGATCCTTCGTTAGAATCAAATAACTAATTAATTTGACTGTAATAAAAAATTGATTTAGAACGAATGAATGATTTATTTCATCTTATTAAACCATTTTCATTGATATAAACATGAGTTTATTCATTTCTTCCAAAGATACTGTTGAAATGAATAGAAAAATATCAAATGAAGATTTATTTAAATTAATTCAAACGCATTATTTCTCTGGTTGTAACGAATTGACTTTATAATATTCAGCATAATCAATTTGTTAACTATAAATTAATCTTTTGATCCCTGTGAACTTTGTTAAAAACTTCAGAATTAATTCTTAATTTTCTCAGACTGGAAAGACAAATAAATAATAATAATAAGTAAATAAAAATGATTTCTACAAAAAAAAATGGAAACTCATAAAAACCTTCCAAATGACATTTTTAAAAAAATTGATTGATTTTTTCGTCGATTCCACTGAAATCAACAGAAAAATTTGGAATGAGCAGTTCTTTCAATTGTCCCAAATGCACTATTTCTCTCAGTGCAGATGAACAAAATTAAGAAACAAGCCTGAAGCGTCCATTCCCCTCCCCCTCCCCAGGCCCAACTCACTTTAAATAAATCACGGAAATACGTGCTGCACGCCGACAGCAGCATCTTATGCGCCCTGATGCGTTTGCCCTCGCAGCTGAGTGTGACATCAACGAGATCCTCATCGCTGCGTAGTGTATCAAAAGCACATGTAATGTGCTTGAGATAATTATTCCATCTGAGTGAGAATTGTTGACTGGAGCCCATGTTGAATATTCTGAGGACAAAACAGGCGTGATGAATAAAAAACGAGGGCAACTGTCCCAGAAGAAAATCCCCTCAACAACTACGAGAGAGAGAAAAAAAATCCATACTTCTGTTTCAACGATTAAAAAAAATGTACCTTTTCTGAGATCTCACGATTCACTTCGCAGGTCCAGCTGTTCCCTTGATTCCCTCAACTCCAGGGAATTTCCAAAAATCGATGATTATCGAAATAACAATTTTATTTCCCCCAAAAGCCACGTGATCACTGATTTTAATTACGATTAATGCACGCACAATCGCCTCACAGAGCCCAGAGACTGTAAACAGTGATACCGAGGTGGGATTTCATGGCACCGCTTGATATATCGCTAATGTTTCGATTTTTGGGTATCGCTGGGTGTCCACTCACTGATTTCACGGACTCCACTGCATCACATTACCGACACAATCGAAACTAGCGGGTTGCACAATTGTTGCAGAGGGCTGTAATGTTTTTTAAGAGGCGAAATGTACGAGTGAGTGACAGCTGGTAGCCATTTTCCTTCGAGGAAAACGCGTAGGATGCGCAAAAGAAGCCGTACTCCGTCGCGAAGCCACGCATCGGTGCGCGGGCGGAGGGGGAATAATGTCGGGTTCACAATGGGAACGATGGAAATGCCGGGGACTAAAATCGAATGCGTTTTTTGTCGGCTTAGTATTGATTTTTTTTTATTTGGGTCCGTTGACACTTCCGGGGGGAGGGAAATTTTTTTTGTTTATTTTATTTACTGTGGGGGGTGGACAATGATTCTTGATTAATTGATGATATTTATTAATGGTATTAATTGGGTTAATTGAGAAATGGTTTTTAAAAATTTTAATAAAGTACATTTGAAGCAAATAATTTACTTTTTCAATATTAATAATTTTTTTTAATCTAAATGAAAATTTTATCAACATATACAAGTGACCGGGGCAAAATGGGGGGTTTTGCGTTGTTATAATTTTAATGATATGTTGAATTAAAATTAGAATAATTATAATTGAATTGAAATTTTATATCAATTAAATGAAATTATGTTTTCTCGTTTTTAATATTGATTTTTTTATTTGGCCCCGTTGACACTTCCGGGGGGAGGGAGATTTTTTTGGTTTATTTTATTTACTGGTATTTAATGGTATTAATTGGGTTAATTGAAATGGTTTTTAAAAATTTTAATAAAGTACATTTGAAGCAAATAATTTACTTTTTCAATATTAATAATTTTTTTTAATCTAAATGAAAATGTTATCAACATATACAAAGGACCGGGGCAAAACGGGGGCTTTTGCGTTGTTTTAATTTTAATATGTTGAATTAAAATTTGAATAATTATAATTGAATTGAAATTTTATATCAATTAAATAAAGTTATGTTTTCTCGTTTTTAGTATTGATTTTTTTATTTAGGTCCATTGACACTTCCGGGGGGAAGTGTTTGTTTATTCTAATTTTGTTTGTTTGTTTATTATGTTTATTTAAGGTGGGGATGGACGATGATTCTTGACTGATTGACCGTATTAATTAATAGTATTAATTGTAGCTGATAATCTCATAGAGAAAGAAATGGGCTTTAGAATTAAATTTTAATTGAATCCAATAATTAGTTTTTTCAATACAAAAGATTGTTTTAACGCTAATGACTCATTTAATATGAATTACATGTGCGTAATTACTAATTGATTAGTCATATCAATTAATATGATTAATTATAATTGGTAAGATTATAGACAAAGAAATGCTTTGTTTGAATTAAAGAAACTTTATTTAAATCAAATGATTAATTTTTCAGTACACACGCATGTTGTCTTGATCCAAACAAACGAAATCACCGTTTAGATGACGAAGAGATTTGACATACATGTAATAATCCCTCATTTAAATCAACCAAATAATCTTCATTTGATTCCCCAAAAAAATGCATTCGAAATTAATCCACTGTTAGACGAATTGGCCTAAGACTTCAGATAACATCGACAGAAATAGACCTCGGGGTCTACATCTGCCTCGGTAATAACGAATCATTTCTTATCATTGAATACAACTCGTCGTTTGCCATAATATATTCGTACGCACTCGAAGTTTATTGAGAATATGTACAAAAAATTTACAGCAATGTCATTTGGCTTTTCTTTCTTCAGTCCGAAGGCTTCATGAATTTCGTCCTCTTGAATTTCTGTCGCTCTCTGTTTTCGTCTGAGAAAAACTGTTTCTTCCTGTTTCTATTCTTGTTGTTCATCCTGGGATTACACGACTTGTAGTGGTTCGCCATTTGTGTCTCGGATATTTCTTCCTCCTTCAGTTTCTCCTGCTTCTGGCGTTTTTCGTTGTACTCAGCTTCTATAAGCTGTTCAACTTCTGGGTTCATTCCTTGGAAACTCAAACGCCCTTCTATCAGCTTTTCGCAGTACATGAAACTTGGTTCAATGAGGTATTTTCCTCTGTAATCAGGTGGAAATGGAGATGAAGTGCGATTGATAGCAATTTTAACATTTCTGCACGTATGAAAAATTTCAATAGAAAAACTCTGCGATTTTCTAAGAAATTCTATTGAATTTCTATTAGAAATTATTAAAAATTATGCAATATCACTCCTCGTATGTAAATAGCTATTTGTTTATAGAAAAATTACTGCAGATGTGGATTTTTCTATATAACTTATACTGTGGGGATTTTTTCTTCCAGAATTTTCAATTATTAATTATTCTTAATTATTCTCAAACAAAAATACAGCGCAAAAAATTTGGAAAATTTATGCTCAAGATTTTCTATAGAAAATAAAAATCTATTGACTCAAATATCTCTCAACAAAATGAAACGGTTTAACTAATAGAATTTTTTAATAGAACTCATGAAATTTCAAGAGAATTCTTATAGAGTTCCAACAGATATTCAATAGGATTTCTTGGAGGAAGCGCCAGGTTTTGTCATTAAATTTTTTCATCCGGGATGTATAGCAAACTTACGATTCTTTTTTCAATCTCGTCGTCAACTGGCTCTCAAAATACTCCTCACCCTCAGTTTGAAACAATTGCTGTTCAACTTTTTCCTTCGTTCGCTTCATAAACTAACGAAAAACAAAATATAATATGAAGAAACTGTGCGAGAAGAATTTAAGTATAGAGATGGGAGAGATTTAATTGGATTTCTATAAAACTTATATTAAAAATTCTATAGTTTTAACCTTTTTTTTGCGATAGAAGTGTTCACATAAATACTCACTTCAATAATAAATAAATCTATCCCATCTCTCCAATTTCAAAATAAATAAATAAAAACAGAGAATCGATTGACTATTGACTAAAAAATGTAAAACAACACGTTCTGTTGTCCCTTAACCTCTCGAAATTACCTTCATCTCCAAAATGCTCTTCGACAGCTTCATTTTACCCATCTCCCGTTCCGCCATTGTTGCCCCACAAAAATCCGTACACAATAATCACTTTCCAAAAATAAAAATCACTTCAGTCAACAAATTCAGTCGTAAAAACCGAGGAACCAAGGAACCGAGATGGAGGGCTGTCGTTTGTACAATCTCAAATGGAAGAATGGAACTAGAGATTCGCGATATTAGTCGATTAATCGAAACATCGATTTTGCATGCCCGATCATCGCTGTTTTTCATTCGATGTTTTCAACGGCCGATTAATCGATTTTCGATTTTTTTTCCACGCATCGATGTCTCTGACCAAACCAAAAAATTTTCATTTTTTTCAATTTATCAAAAACCCTGTTTCGAGATTCAAAATTTAACTCTCCAGTTGCAGTTATCATTGAAACGTAAATCCCAGTAAATCTCTAGTAACCATTGCCAACATGATCCGTCATATGACGGTCATGTGACCGTAATTGACAGTCACATGACAAGGCGTTCATGACGGCTGCCACAATTCCCCCTCACCCTTCTGTGACCATCACAATTTGTCAAGAAAAAATGACAGTCATTTTTCATCTATATAGATAAAACTTTTTTTTTCTCGGTCAATTTTCAGTTGAATTCCTTTTGTATTGACCTAATCCGCATTTTAAAATGGAAATCACGTTTTTTTTACATCCATATAGATTAAACTATTTTGTTTTATTCATGACCGTCACAAATTGGAAATTAGTTATGACCGTCATTATGCAACCATATAGATAGTTTGACAACAATTTGGTTACAAATGATTTGTGACAATCATTTGTAGTTGGAAAATTTGTGCGTGACATGACCGTCACTTTTTGGTCATATGACGCGATCTAAAAAATGACGGTCATTTTACATCTCTAACTGTAGTACTGCAACAGTTCCCCGGCGGAACCCACCCCCTGCTATTACCCCCCC